AAATATTTGCATATCTGTGGATCAAATAATTATTAGAGGGTGTAATTGAGCAACAAACGATGTCCAACATTTGAATAGCATAACCACGAACCGCGACGATACGGAGTACTCACTGAGAAAAATGAAATAGAGCAATGTGTAAACAGAACTTAGCATTGAATTTCAATGTAGTCCCACATTTCACGTTATAAAGTCAAATAAAGTGAAAAGATATGGGATTCTGAGATACTACTATTTAGATAGAAATCGTACCTTCCCGGATGTCATCGCAACATTGCACTATAAAATGTAAACATGTAATTTAAAGAAAGACCATGTTTACATTGGCTAGAATTCTAATTCATACGTACTCGTTTCTCTTCTCTAAAGATGACTAGCAATCTAAGATTTAAATGACCTTCACAAGCTACTTTCCAAGTTATCGAATGCAGAATGTTCTCGTGAGCTTAAAAGTTACTTTAACATAATGGGTTGTAAGAAAATGTAGAATGAGGACCTATGGCAATGCTCTCAACGTTTTTTTTTTTTAATCTTAATATTTTAAAAGCTATTTCTACGGCTATATCACGAGCCCACTAAAAGTGAGGCATAGACGTCACTTGTTGTTTCATTCGAGTTCGAGAAGCCTACAGATCTGGAATTTTATGCGATTCTAAGATACTCAAGAAAAGAAGTGAGAGCTTCTAAACCTTAGTTGTAATTAATCAGCACAGTCATATCTCAATGTTAGGCATCATAGAGAGCTTGCGTGTGAGCTTTTGCATTGCAAGAGCAATGCGGGCTAATTATTGGCTGACAATTGCTAAGAATATGGAAAGGGTGGAAAGAATGTACTTGAAGAGTATTGATGACTCTAAAAAACTCGTGTTTTAATTCGCAGTAGTCGTGGATTAGAAAGTGCATATGTTAATGCTGAACATTCGCAGCTCATTAAAATTCAACACGATTGCAAAAACTAGCTAAGACTTTAAAAGGCAACAACATAAAAAATGGATGTGTTACGCAGAGTCGCACGTTCATATGCATGAAGTATTGGCTTTGCTAGCTGTTAGTTTGAAATAGGAGAATATGGAAATAAGAAAGGCTTGGGAAAACTTCCGCTGGATTATTCGAGCGAGGTAAAGAAAGAGGGACGAGCATGAATGAATTTATGTGAATGTCATAATGAGCATGGCTGTAAGCTTTTTCTTCCACACAGCAGCTTACACGCAATAAACCCTCACATTTCCGTATACAAGGTATGTACTGAATTCTAATAGAAACTTTAGAGCCACACCCTCCTCGATGCCATTGGCTTTGATGGAAGACGTGAGACATATGAGAAATCTGAGAAAGAGCTTTTATCTATATCTTAACATCTGCTAAGGCTATTAAAACAACATATGGATAAAGGAGATGCAAAATGCAGCGATATTTATATAAAATCCATAAGAGCAGCTGCGCCCATTGCAACCATGAATCTGCACTTTAGATTACACTCAGGAAAAGTTTTTTTTTCCTATTTTAGAAGCCTTCAAAAGTAGTAGGATGAATGATTACATTCGCAAAAATTATGAAAATCA